TTTGTATTCTTTCTATTTTTAGAAGTGATGATCTTTCTTACTCAACATTTTAGATTGACACTATAATGATAGAAGGAAAGAAGAAGAAGAATAATAATAATAATATAAGATAAAAAGAAAAAAAAAATAAACTAATAGCACATAAAAAAAAAAAAATTATAGAGTGAGGGCACCCGGGGCTGCTCACAATATGCATTGTAAAGGTGTGGATCAATTCGGAACCTCAAAATATGGTTAACACAGATATCAACTAACACTAAACCAATCTGAAATCAACACTACAACGGCTAAACTCTATTAACCCTAATAGTGGAAGGCACAAAAGAGGGCGTGAAAAGACCTGGTCCGAGTTATTAGGGTCAAATAGAGCTCTAGACTACGTCACAAGGCTCTAATTCATAGTCACGGGTTGTAGGATGGTTTATTATCGGGATTAGGGAATGAATGTGTATAATTATATGTGCAAAGGATAACTTAGTGATTATTAAAAGCTCATTACTGAGATGTCTTTATTTTGGAGGAAACTACCTCCTATATATAATTAATCATTACATATAACAGAATTCTAGGAATTCTAGGAATTCCAACTATTCTCGCTATTCTCGCTATTCTAGCTATTCTATGAATTCTTGTAATTCCTATCATTCTTCGAATCCTATGAATTCCCTGAATTCTAGGAATTCTGGGTATTTCAGGAATTTGTACTACTCTTAACTCCAAAAATAGAACCAACTGCTAAAAATAGAATTTAGAGGTTGATCTAGCCTCTCACAATTCTCCTCCACTCAAATGACCTGTTCCATGGGAGCATTATGAAGCAACTGATTATAATCGTTGATAGATAGCTTCTTGATTCAGGTGAGTGTAGTATGGTTAGTCCGGTAAAGCTGTTCAACCCCCAAGGGTCTGAACAAATAATAGATTTATTTTGCCACCAACATATAATAGGCAGATAGTTGTGTCCTTTGCAGCAGAGCTCTGTCAGCTGGAGGGACAATGCTTAAGCGTTCACCAAGGTAAAAGGTGTGAACAAGGATGCCAATTTGGTCTCTATGATTTTTGGCTTCTGCTATCTGGTTGCTAATGAGTCCTATTTGGGTGACCAAGTTCTGGCTTTTATCATAAGAGCGGGACTCGGCTACCACATACGTTGGAGTGGTTGATAAGAGGTCTTGGTGAATCATTTCTTTGATAGTAGTCATTTTCGAATATAGGTTTTTCTCTTTTTTTTTTTTTTTTTCACTGCTCTATTTATATATTTCGTTTTGGGAAAATTCTTTAGGCTTCGACGAAAGATACGCTTAATCCCGAAGGCGTTTAGGTTCAGAAAATTTAAAAGTTCAAAAAGTTTGACTTTTCGAACTGTACTAACTAAAGAGGGCAAGAATCGACCTGAGCCTCCTCAGCATTAAACGAAATGTTCAATGCGCAGAATGTGCTGAATCTACCAGATTTGCTAAGCTCATGGCAGATCTTTCATACGTGGGAATATTCAAGCCTCCTTATACTTTCTTAGAAGCTTCTTTTCGAATATCCAGGTACTAGGCCACCGACTACCTAGGCAGAATTTGATTTACCATCAGATTTCTTCTTAATATATTAATACTTTCGAGTAAGTCTTCTTATCTTAGTACTTCATGTTCATCTTTTTCAATACCAATTCTGTATTGGATTTGTCACAGATACACTTTGACATTCCTCTGGGGCTTCTAAAGTCTCATCCAGCAGGTAATGCGGACGTTTCCTTTCTTCTTTCCGTCCATTTCCTCTGTCTTTGCTTCTTCTTTGAATCTTCGAATCTTCTTCGATTTTGCTTCTTTGTATTTTGTGGTTTTCTTCAGATAAGTACTTCTCGTACTTGTTAGTCTCATAAACTCGAGGACCTTCTTATGCGTCATCAAGGTAGTAACCAGGATTACGTATTCCAATAGCATTATCCATCCTTTTGCTATTTCGACTTTCATCCTATTTATCAACATGGCTCGTTTCTTATACCAATCAAATGTCTCTTCATGCTTCATTGGGCCAATGCTACTTTGTTAAAAACTTCGCAAATTTTCTATCAATAATCAAAATTTTTTTTTCACATATTTGTTATTTATATAATCTTATGGTGTATATTTATACAAGATTTCCTACATAATTATACCAAATAAATAACAATATGATAATATTGTATGTTGTTCTTCTTTCGAAACTTCTGGCACCATCTAGGGTCAAATTTCATAAACTTAAATTTTTTTTTTTTTTTTTTTTAACTCCCAATCCATCTTCGTAGCAATCAAATGTTCTACTAGCGTTTTTCCAGATCCATTGTTATATTCCAATTTCATAGTAATTCTCCAATGCTTGGATAAATTTTTGTTCATTTTTGTTTGAATCATAAATTACTTTAGTGCAATATTGCACTACAAACCATAAATTCTATAAAACCAACAGTTGCAAATTCTCCATTACCAATTTCTTTAACATTAGATAATCTATTAAACGAATCCATTCAGTCGAATCTTTAAATTTTCAAGCCCTAAATTGGAATGTTCCCATACAATCTTCAATATCTTTATTAATTCTAGTTGTCCATCTTGTTGTTGCATCTAGGTTGTATGATAGATACCATGCTGGTCATGTGTTATCTTCATTAAAATGTACACATTCTCGATATTCGAAATTTTGGCGAAGACTATTACAAAAAGAATCCTTTTTACTCCATTCCCGAGATTTATTTTCTTTCACGCCAATTTCATAAAGATAACAAGTGGCTGTTTTCCAAATTCCTATAGAATTACCTGCCTCAGCAAACTTTAAATCATATGTAAAGCTTTATGCTTATCGATTTCGATGCCAGTTCATAGGCTATAACAATATCCAGTTTGATATATCCCATTAGAATTAGTCATTTCCGTTGATTTTTGATAATGGGTGAATGCCGTGTTTTCATCTTTTTCAACTTCAATCCCATATTCGTAGCAATATCCAAGCATGAATGCTCCGTAAGAACTTCTCTTTGTTGCTGAGGCTTCAATTCCAATTCCATGGAAATAACAATTTCCAATTTGATACATTCTATTAGAATTTCTCTGATTATTCTCGTTGGGTTTGAATAAGTAGATTATTTTGGTTTCTTTCCAATATGTAACTGTTAGCATACATAGGAGTAATAGTAGAATGTGGCTAAGATTAAATAAGGTAAATCTGGATATGATTAGATCATTGGCTCTTTTTATTTTTGGTCTACTTGTGGCCTTAGTTTTCCATTTATCTTCAGCTTTGGCTTTTTCAAGATATTTGGGCCATCTACAATCTTTTGTTTTTGACCTACTGTTTTTAGTTTCTATACTATTTCCAATAGAACGTGTTCGACTAGGTTGATCCATCTTCGTCACGTGTTGATACTTGCTAGGTGCCCGACATTCATCTTGTTCGACTCTAATTCCACATGATTGGTAATTGGTTCGATTTACATTGACATTTTCAGCTTTATCAGGATATTCCATTTTTTCACTAGCCTTGTTATCAAATTCTACAGTGGTTGTTGGGAGTTTTTCATAATTATCCAGGCATAACCACTCTTCAGAGATTATGTCGTTATATAGGTACCAAATTTTACCATCATTATCGTCGGCGTCTTCAGGCTCTTCGTCCAATTCAGAGATTTCTTTTTTATCATTATCCGCATTATTATCAGGCTTAGTATCTTTTAGATATATTTTGTATTCGGTCTTTCTTATGTTACTTTTGATTTCAAGTCCATGGTCTGTTTCACTTTTACCTAGCTTTTGAAGGTTTATAACCTTTTTGACGGCTGCTTCATTGTCCACAGCCATGCTTAATTTACTATTATTGTCCATATCAGCAGGCTTTTGACAATGGTCAGGTGACTTATTTTTTCTATTTCGAATTCAATTCTGTTTCGATGGAGTTGCCCAAGGTCGTTGGTTTCACCAGTTCGTCCCATATCTATCAATTTTTTATAATGCATGAATGCCTTATATTCATCATTTTTAGCTTCATCAGCACGATCTATTTCGGTGGATTTTTTATAAGGTTTGTACATCATATTTCATCCTTTTCGACTTCAGGGGACTTTATATACCACGTGGATTTCTTTTCTTTTGTTTTAATGGCTATACTATTTTAACAGCCAGGATCGACTTGAGATGTTTCTTCTATCTCTTGCGGCTCTTGATAACCGGTGGGTGTCTTTTGATGATCGCTTTCAACATTATTTCCATCAGCATGATCCAATTCAGCAGATGTTGGATAGTCCACTAGAGTTTTCTTTCCAACTTTGGTTTCATTGTTGTAACAAAGTTCGATCATTTCTTTGCCGTGGTCAATCTCTACTGATTTTTGTTCGTATATAGATGTTTTAGGTTCATTTTTTTTAACTCCAATCTCATTCCGATTCCAATATTTACAGTCAGGAGTTTTATTAGTATGATACTCAGAAACTTTACTTCTGTTCTTTTTTGGTATTAATTTCATTTTCTCGGTATTTATTCCACTTTCTTCGAACATTTTTCATTTCCATTGTTTGTTGACGATTGGAAAGTTCTTTAATATTATTAGACCGAGTTCTAATATTATTTTTGTATTTATTCAATTCAGTGAACTTTACAGGCTTTTTGAGGGCTAATTCATCATCTATATCAGCAGATTTTGGATAACGAATGGATGCTTTATGTTTATTCTTTTTATTCTTACTCCCAGGTTCGTAGCAACGTCCAAGGTCAACTTCCTCATTAACATAAGTTTTGATAGTTTCTTTCAGGGCAAAATAAGCGTTAATAGTTTTTATGACATGGTCCTTCTTATGTCGCAACTTTGTCACAGAACTTTTCTTTTACGCAGGTGAGGTTATTCGTATATATGAGAGCAGGTATAAAACTGGCACTTCTTCGACGTTTTTATTGTTTATTATATAGTCTTCTAATATCTTTATTAATAATTCAAGCACCTAAGAGATTTGTGCATCGTCGATGTAGATATCTCTGAAGGCTTCATTTATGATCTCTTGAACCTCAGCAGCTTGTCTATCCATAAGAGTTTCAAATAGATTGGCACATCTTCTTTCTACCTTTTGCACTTCTGGACATATAAAAACTTTATGTCCTTTCATGTTACAATGAAAGCACTGGGCTTCTTTTGGGAGATGTCTTGGAGTAGTTTTCAAAAGTTTTTTTGGTTTTGATATTGTCTTTTTTTTGAAAATTGGCTTGATTTGGCTTGGTTCAATGAAGATATTCAATTTTGGTTATTATAATATGTATCTATTATTGTATATTACTGATTCACGACTTCGGGTAATAGGTTTGGGTGGGTTTAGAAGTAAGTATCTCACAGTCACCACCAAATGTAAAGGTGTGGACCAATCTGGAACCTCAAAATATGGTCAACACAGATATCAACTAACACTAAACCAATCTGAAATCAACACTACAACGGCTAAACTCTATCTACCCTAATGGTGGAAGGTATGAAAGAGGGTGTGGAAAGACCTGGTCCAAGTTTTTAGGGTCAAATAGAGCTCTAGACTACATCACGAGGCTCTAGTTCATAGTCACGGAGTTGTAGAATAGTTTATTATCAGGATTAGGGAATGAATGTGTATAATTATATGCACAAAGGATAACTTAGTGATTGTTAAACGCTCATTACTGAGATAACTTTATTTTGGAGAAAACTACCTTCTATATATAATTAATTGTTACATATAACAGAATTCTAGGAATTCTAGGAATTCTATCTATTCTCGCTATTCTAGCTATTCTATGAATTCTTGTAATTCCCATCATTTTTCGAATTCTACGAATTCTCTAAATTCCAGGAATTCTAGGAATTTATACTACCCTTAACTCCAAAAATAGAACCAACTGCTAAAAATAGAATTTAGAGGTCGATCTAGCCTCTCACAGCATATGCAAATCCAAAAGAAAGTTTTTCATTTTAGACTGTAAAATCCAGTGTAACTGGCATAACTTGAAATCGAAAATGTTTTTAAATGTCAATAAAAAAAATTTCTCACAAAATTTTTAGTATATGGAGTCTTTGCCTTGAGAATCACCCTCTGAAATTTCCTATCGTGCCAATTCGAACAAAAACAACCTGAGCATTAGTTTATATTCATATGTGTCATAGCAGGCTTTCGTTCTGATTGGTCAATTACTGGAATTTATTTCTCACTTCGTGGACAATAACATATATGTATCATCAAATGCATACCACATATATTAAAAGAATTGGCTGCTATGAAAATGAATTATCTCGAGGAACCAAATACATATTCAGAAACTATCTTATATTCTACATTCAGTTTAAACAAATTTTTAAAATTTTGGTATCATAAATTTGCTTCAATATTAATAACTAAATATATTAAAAATGTTATTCTTCATCGTTGGAAATTAAAAATAACATGTGCCAATGAATTTTTTTTTTTTTTTTTTTTTTTTTTTTTTTTTTTTTTAAATGTTAATGGTGAGACCTTGCTCTTATCTTTATTAAATTTAATCAAAATTTCTTACAAAATCAGAAAAAATTTTATTGTATAAATCTAATGCTAAGAATAAGAACTCAGACTAACTAAAAGTGTCTAATAGATACCTAGTTTTTTATCTGCGGCCTAAACCAACCAGAGTGGCCAAGGCTCAACTAGATTTGAGTGTTAGTAATAATGTGAGATGGGTGTATTAAATATTTGATCCAGTAAGTAAACCATGTTTCAATTTTATATAAAGGATTAATTAAGTCAGATTCACTATTTGGCTAATTAGAGGCATTGAATGTGTCAGGAGTATGTATAGAGAAAGGTGGGAATGAAGTTGTAGAATCAGTTTGCGATCTTGATATACAATAGGGAATCCATATTGTTTTGTATATTTGACGATTAATTTCAAGAAGGAGTTTAATAGTAAGAGATATTGCTGTTTTGCTGGATGTAGTATACTCACTTAATGTGTTAATAATATCAATTGGTACTAAGCCAGAGAGTGTAGAAGCTAGGGAAGGTTTGTGTATAAGTTGGTGAGCTTGAAAACTATCAAGATTTAGAATAGAAGTGTGGAGGTTGTGTGCTTGAGAATGTGATATTTGAAGTTTGTTATGACTTAGAATATGTTCTAAAGAGCTACGAATAAGATTAAATAGAGGTTCAGGGGATGGGCAAGATATCCAGTGAAGAGAGTTGCTTTCTTGTTGACATATATGACATTTGTTAGAATAGGAAGGGTTTCTTCTATAAAGAATGTTAGGCATTGGTAAATCGTCTAAAAATAATTTGATTCTAAAAGATTTGTATATAGAGGATTGGAAATTGTGTGTAAAGTTGGATATTTTTTGGTTATTATTGAGATAAAGCCAGGTTGCTTGCCAATTGACTAGAGAGATAATTGGGATCCATTTTTGGAACTGGTTTTGAGATGACCAGTTGGCGAAGATATGTGCATGACATATTGTTCTAATACTACGCTGTATAGGGAGTTTAATTGGGAGATTGTTAAAGCTAAAGGTAAACAAAGAGTTGTATATATTAGTTGTATTAAAAGTAAGATATGGTGCTTGCTGGTGATTTCGAGCTAGTTGGTCAGCTGCATTGTTAAAAATGCCATACTGATGTGCATTGACTTTGTGAAATATAATATTTAAATTGTAGAATTTAGAAAAGTTTAGAAGAGTGTTCCAGATAGACCAGTAAGGAGTATTTATAAAGTTTGTGTTATGAGTGTTGTGTGAAAGATTGTGAAACTTTAAAATAACTGATTGGGAATCTGTAAAAATTTGTATAGTGCAATTTCTAGAAGCAGTGCAGATAGCTGATGCTATTGCTATGAGTTCTGCTTTGTATGAACAAGGCCAGAGTTCAACTTTGGCTTGGAAGGTATGAAGTATAGTTTGATTTTGTATTTGTAACCAACCAATATCCATAGAGCATTGGGAGGTGCCTATGTTTATAACAGAGCCGTTGGTATAAAAATTAAGATTCGAGGCATGTTGATTGTAGGTAGCTATTGATTGAAGGGTCTGAGTGGCTTCACTAGGTATGAAGAAGGTTGGTATTTGGGATTGTTCAATAATAAGTGTGGGAAGTAGTGGAATAGAAGTAGCATTTGAGATTAGGATTGAGTGTATAAGGTTCTGGTAGTTGGCGTAGAGATTAATTGATTTGTCTGTATTAAGTCTACCAAAAAACTTTGTTGCAAGATTAGTGTGAATAAAAATAGAACATTTGTTAGCTATTAGGTTGGTATTAAGTGAACAATTGGTGCAGAGTGAAAGAGATATAGGGGCAAGTGGATATAGTTGTGTTGAGTAGGTGAGATTGTGGCATTGCCAATGAGTAATAAGTATGTGACCAGTTGTTGTACATTGGCGACGGGCTTTACCAATAACCAGTTGGTTGTTGAATAAAGAGATTAGCCAAGGTTTAGTGTGTTGGTAGAAGTGGCCAGTGCTATAGCTATAGTAGTTAGTAGGTGGAAGATTAAAGTGTAAATGAATAGTTCTATTGGGAGAGCTAGAAGTAGAGATGTTTTCTAGTATAATAAACTATTTGGGTATTTTGCCTTTTGGGATTTTGTTTAGTCTAGGTGAAATGTGTTGCAATTCAAGCAGACAAAAATTGTTAGATGTGGTAAGCTGGTCAAGATAATGGTGTCAAAGTTGTTTTTTAAAAGTAGGATATTGAGGGTGAGAAGCAAGAATTGATTCAAGTGAAGTTGAAACTTCCTGGATTGTAAAAAGAATGGAGGTATTAGGGTTGGGGCTAATTGTCCAATTAATGTATTTAAGAAGCTGAATGATTTTAAAATTAGTAGTATTTTTATTAGGGCCTTCAATTATAGGATTGGGATAGGAGAAGATATTTATGGAAGACCTTAGATTGTTCTGTAGTTGTTGAATACGAATAAGTGTAGAAGTGTCGAGGAGATAATTATTGTTGAGCTGTTTGATAAAGTTGGAAATATGATGTTGCAGTTGAATGTCCCAGATATTTTTGATATTGTAAATTTGTGGGTGGAGTAGAGTGCTAGTGGGTATAGTGCGGCTGAGTTTGGCTTTGTGCTTGACTAGACCAATGTGACGTGTGAAGATTTTATTACAGGCTGTTTGGCTAAGAACAATATTCTGTAGACAATATTCAATAGTAGGTATAATGACTGTGTTAATAATATATCAGGGGTGGCTGATACTTTGAGGACTACCTGAACCTGGTTACCCAGATCTTTAACATCATATTCTCAGATCTTCGACATACACCCAACTGGCTTTATTAGATGGGTTTGGGTCAAAATTCTGACAAACAAAATTCCGACAGGTCATAATCCCAACAAAAAAATCCTGACAATCAAAAATCTCGACAAATCGCGACAATCAAAAAAAGTGTTCGTTGAGCAATTTTACTATATAAAATCACCTATACCCTAACCCTAACCTAGGCATACACCCTAACCTAACCTATGCACTCACCTAATCTTACCCTAACTTAAATAAACAATAATTTTTTGTTGTTGGGATTTTTA